AAAAAAAAAATAAAGTGGGTGTTTATAGCAGCTTTACTTGTAATTGCCAAACTTGAAGGGAGTTGCTAGATCAAGGGATAAGGAAGCTGGTACGCCCATACAATGGAATATCATTCAGCCCTGAAAAGAAGTGAGCTGCATGCTCTGTGTACATGTACCAGCTTCTTATGACAAATGTCATCATCATATGAAAACACGGACTAAGAAAAAGGAAGACAAAGAGCTAACACTGGCAAAATGGCACATGCTTATAATCACAGCTACTCCGGGAGGCTGAGGAAGGAGGATCATAATTTCAAGACAAGTCTGGGTAACTTAGAGATGCTGTCTTAAAAATTAAAAATAAAAAGGACTGGGAACATAACTCAGCGGAAGTGTGCCTGAGCCCTGGGTTCAATTCCTAGTAACCCCCTCTGCCCTACAAGTCTAACAGGCCATCAGGAAACCTTGAATGCATATTAGTAAACAAAAGAACCCAACCTGAAAAGGCTGCCTGCTCTATAGTCACGATTTTATGATGTTCTAGAAAAGGCAAAATGGTGGTCTTGGTTGCCAGGGTTACAGGGAAGTGGGGGAGGGGAGGGAGGTGCGGATGGTCCAGGACAGGAGGCTGCCCTTGCGATGCTGTCACAGGTACACTGAGCTGTGTGCGCCCTGGGCTTTGCATGACGTGACATGACGTGCAGGTTGCCAGTCCTGACAAGCGCATGTGCACAGGGTGCCGGCAGTGGAGGAGGCCACAAGTGTCCCGTGCCACGGACATAAGAGCCCATTCTCCAGGGGTCCCCATAGCTCAGACTTCACGGACTGATGTCCACAGTGTGCAACCCCAAGATTGGGGTGATCTCTTCTTCCCTCAGCCCTTTAGTAGTGCTGGGGGAGTCTGGCCTTGTGGCATACCCCTGTGATCCCAGCACTCAGAGGGCAGAGAAGGAGGATTGCCGGGTTTGAGCCCAGTCCGGGCAAGTTGCCTAGTGACTTGGTGAGACCCTGGAGTAAGATAGAATGACATAAGACAGAACCACACCACGGCTCACTAAAACAGAGATACTCCTTCTGTTAAGATCTGCCCGTTTTATGATCTGCCATTTGAGTTTATGACCTGTGAGAGTTTGAGGTTTTTTTATTTTGTTTTGTTTGTTTTTAAGACAGGCTCTCCTTATGCAGCTCAGGCTACTGTTGAATTCACTGTGTAGCCCAGGCTGGTCTTACACTTGCAGTGATCCTCCTGCCTCAGCCTCCTGAGCGCTGGGATTACAGGTGTGCACCACCACCTCAGCCCCTCTGTTTTTATACATAGCTTTGTACGTCTTGTTTACAGAGCTTCGGTGCCTCTTTCTGCACCACACTGCCAAGGGCTGAGTCGGGCCCTCAGACACCTGGAGGGATGATGGGAATAAAGAAAGACAGAGACGAACTTCAGGGTCCCGGGGGCCTGGAGGAGCTGTCTCTAGTGGACCGGCTTGGCAGCCTCAGTGGTCCGCTCACTTTTATGGCCAGTACGAAGCGCACGGGAGGGGTGGCACTCAGGTCAGGAGCAGCAGCCACAGAAAGTGGGTGGAGAAGGATTAAATTAAGGAGGAATCCGATTTTCCCTAAACCCAAACGCCCGTATTTTGACAGCTGTCCTCAGCAGGCGCCATCTTGCCTCAGGAGTGCCGGGTCATCAGCATTCCATCTGTCTGTCTGTCATCGGTAGCCAGGGGCGCTAGGCCTTCGGTGCACCTCCCTATTTCTGCACCTCCCTGTTCCTGAAGCAGGGTCACACCAACCTTGGGACTGCAGGGGGCTCAAGTGCAGTCTCTGGGGGGGCCCATCCATAATC